GGAGTATGCCTATTTATACTTTTTTCTATAAACCAAAAATATGTTTTATTGCTGCTTCAATTATCCAAGAAGATTTTTTAAAATCATCATCAATTTCATTTCAATTTAGTTTTATTTTCTGGAGAGTGTATTTGTAGATTTCGAGTATTTCGGAGACGTTCTTGCCATGTTCGTCAGAAAAAAAGCAAGAGTCAATTGTCTTCCATCTTGATTCTTATCTTTAAGTTTACCTGCCCCCTCAAAGTTTTCTATTTGTTCCGAATTATATTTCCTCTGTCATAATTGAGGTTCTGTACCACAGTAATTTATCGCTACAATTTGAGTTCTCCGAATTGCTAGAATTAGCCAGAATTGATCAAAACTAAAACATTTTGTAATGAAGAAACTAGAGAACGCAACTAGTAGGGCGAACCGATAGGTAAATCCGCGTGCACGGTCTTTGGTTCGGAAGGAGTGGAAAGTGCATACAGAGTGATGTAAATGGGTTGCGTCTCTCGGTTTGCCCGATCAGGTACAGGAGAAGAGAAAAGGAAAGACCATTATATACACACCTTGTTTTGCAAGAAACTTACACAGCGACCTGATGATGTGTCGCTGTTCATCGGTTCGCGCGATCAGATAAGAACGAGAAGAGTAGGAAAGGCCACCATTTACACACAAATTCTTCTGCGACGGACGGGCGGAAAAAGTATCCTCTGTACGCTCTGTTGACATGTAGGCCACTCTCTTTCTCTCTATCGAGAGAAGTCTCTCGCTCTCTTCTCTGCCCTCCCGTCCTTCTTCATTTTCATTTAGTATTCGTCTTGTTTCCTTGGATGTTGGGAACTGGTTGTTTTTATTATTTCTAATTTAACTTTTTTTCTGATATTCCTATTATTTTTCAAATGAACTTTTAAACAAGGTAAGGGGGTTTGCAAACAATAAAAAGCAAAAACTAACTTTTTGACCAAATTTTTGTCGAATTTTCGGGAAAAAACTATCGATTTTTCTACTATGCTGTTCAAAGATGGCTGATTGAAGATCCAAGTGTACGTACCAGGGTTGTGCGGGAAAGACCCATCGGGAAATTTGTTGGAAAAAGATTTTCCCGATCTATAAAACCGGGAAAAACCGGAAATCTTCTGAAAATTTTGATAATGTTTTTAAAACAATTCTAAATTCAACAAGCATCCAGTTATTTTCATGAGAAAAATTTCGCGATTTCCCGAAAATTTTTTCGACAAAACGAGTCAAACGACCGAGAAAAAAAGGAAATTTCCCGCACATCCCTGGTACGTACTAGGTGGCAATTTTCTAAGAAAATTTGAGCTAATGCTGACTATTTGCAGCACTAAAGCTAGTTTCAGATTTGTTTCCACACTGGTGGCAGAAGGCCGCGAACTCATTGCGGACGTTCTTGTCGCATTGAGATACCACATTGCAACCTAATCCAATGAAGAACGAACAATCAGATTCCTCAACACTATCCTTCAAAAGGTCTACCTGATCAGGAAAGTGGACGTTAAGGATACCGAGGAAACTTATGAGGAGTGCATTAAAGTGTTCGTTGATGGCGTCGCCGCTTTCAAAGAGAACGACGAAGTGCAGACAAATCTTGTGGTCGGATTGGAAAGCATTATACCCTATATGAGGACGGATATGTACCGAGTACTCTACGAGAGAATTGTGTCCACAAGGACTAATTATGAAAGAGATTTTGTGTGAGTTTTTATGCCTTTTTTGTGAAGTTTCAAGGTTTCAAATCTTTTTTTCAGAGAAATGCTTTATGTGCAAGACTCCGAGAAGCAAAAGGAGATGATTGTTCTTTTCTACTGGATCTTTTTCCACAGCAATTTGACTACCAGAAAAGTGGGCTTCTACAGATCTCCTGACAAAGTTCGAGACGTCGTCGTGAAGGATGTGAGAACTGCGTTGACTGGATTCGAGTACAATCGAGGAGAAACTGGAGTGTATGATGGGACACTTGGATTCTGAAGAAATGTAAGTCGAAGGGTACACGGATGATCCGAACCAGAAGCGTTAAGGAAATTAATTTTTATTTATGTCTAATAATTTTTACATTCCATAACACGATATTTTTCTATGATTTTATTGTGCTTTTTTCTATTTGCCACTAATTTGTATTGTTTAAAAGTTTATTTTTTTTCGAATTTCACTTAGGATAAATTTTGTGAATATATTTTAACAGTGTTTTGTTTTGATTATGATGGGGTTACACGGGGCGATGGGTCTATCTTGAAGTTCTGGGGTCCTTTCAGAAGCTTTTTCCTTTTGGTCGTCAAGAAAAGAAGCAAGATTCAGCAGTCCTCCATTATGATTTCTATTTGAAAACGTTTATGGCTCTCCCGGAAACTTCTAGTCGTTTCAACGCAACATCTTTTCTGTTACCGTCAACGTTGGATACACTGACAAGGGCATGATGTTTTTATATTGGTCTGGAATTTACGATGAATTGTTATTCTGGAAGTAGATGCTTCTGCAAGTTGATTCTGAATAGCCAGCCTGCACTGGAACCTAAGAGTCTGGAAATCTTCATCTCGGAAGCTGACCTCGTCCCCTGATTTTATTAAATTATTCTGAAAGTAAATGCTTCTGTGAGTGGATTCTGAAATTTCCTGCCCTCACTGAAGCCTGAGAGTCTGGAATTCTTCATCTGAAAGTTCGACCCAACCTTTTGATTTCAATAAAGTGGTGTTTTGAAAACAGATGCTTCTGTACGTGGATTCCGAAATTTCTAGCCTTCACTGAAGCCTAAGAGTCTGGAAATCTTCTTCTTGAATTCTGATTATTCCCCCTGATCTTAATAAATTTTGACCCAACCTTCTGATTTCAATAAAGTGGTGTTTTGAAAGTAGATGTCTCTGTCAGTGAATTCTGAAATTTCCAGCTCTCACTGGAGCCTAAGAGTCTGGAAATCTTCATCTGAAGATCTGATCCGCCCCTTATTAGCAATGCATTGTCGACGTGGCGATTTCAAATGAAGCTTTCCAGACTCTCAGGTTCCAGTGAGGGCTAGAAACTTCAAAATACACACACAGGAGCATCTACATTCCGACCACCAATAAATAGCAAATTCCGAAATCACGTAAGAAAAACATTTTCTCGTGAAAACACTCATTTCTACCACAGTACCTTCCAAATTCATTCGTAACCCCCCAATTTTACCCTTCATAGAGAATGCGCAGTGTCGTCGCGTTGAGTCCTCCTAATGTTGGCACACAACTAGCGAGCCGAATCGATACGTCGTTTCTCTCTCCGGCCGGCACGGTCGGAAAGTGCCTGTGCTGTGCTTGTTTTCTCTGGATTCTCTTCCCTCTACCTCTCTTTTCCGCTCTTCTCCCTTTTCATTGATCAATCGTCTCGCTCATACCATCAAACAGCGAACGGTTGGTTGATATTCTGCATCCTTTGGATTTTAGGGAGCTGGTTTTTCATTATTATTTCTAATTTCTAATTGAATCTGTTCAAAAACAGATTTTTTCAAAAATCAAAAATAAAAAGGTGAGTTCGCCAGTTAGAAACAGAAAAGTGACGTTTTGATCGAAATGTTGTGAAATTTTTGGAGGAAAAATTTTTTTTTCGACTAAAAGATAGAGAAAAATTCGGAAGAATTATTTTCCAAGTTATATATGCCGGAAAATTCGGAAAAATAATTTTTTTAACTGAATTTTTCGATCAATTTTTTTGGTTGAAAATTATTTGAAAAAGCCGGTGGAACATAAAAAACACAACTTTTAGAAAAATTGGTTGATAATTTTTTTTCTGGGATTCCGATGATTTTTCACCAAAAAAAAAGGTTTTTATGAGAAAAAAATGTGTTTTAGAAACCAACTCAACATATTATTTCAGGGCGACCAACATAAGATAAGTTATGTCACGCGGCAGATCAACAACTTCTCGGACACTTTGCGGAAGTCGAAAAGACCAGAGAGTCCAAGAGATTTCGGAACCAGATGGGAACTCAGATGAGAATATGTTTGAGGACATGGAGTCCTATGAACACTTCGGTACGTTTTTGAAAACAAAATTATCTAATATTCATTTTCAAATCTTCAGATGAGCGTCGCCGCGAGTCTCAGAAGAGCGTCACCATTGGCAAGCTCTTTGCGGTCTTCAAGATTCTACGAGGACTCTGATTCTGACGACTGTGAGTTGACTGTTTGTGTAATTAGAATGCTTAGTGTTTTGCTATTGAGAGGTTATTGAGGGCTCATAAGAGATAATTTCATAGAAAAAAATATCCAATTTCAGCGGACTGGACCGATGAGTGGTCACAGGAAGGATGGGAGTTCGCTGAAAATTGTTGGTAAATAGTGCTTCTGCCTCTGGTTGAACGGAAACGTTGCATGATTTGCCGATGCGAAAGACGCTTGTACCTAATCAACTACTCTGTAAGTGTCACTAGAATCTAATCATAGTTTCATAACCCTGGATTTAAGGTTATATGGTGTGTATCCTGTGAGGGATTCTTCGACCGGATGACAAATCGTCCCGACCGTTTGGTGACATGCATTAAAAAAGATAATAAGTGTTACGGTCGGAAGTGTCCATATTATGAATTTCCACTTTCTTTTTTATTGTTATTGTAACATTGTGATTTTGTGAAAATTTGATTTTAGTATGAAAATCTAATATATCTCCTATTTTTATCTATTATGTTTATGGATAAATTTTATAATGATGTACAACAGTGTTCTGTTCTTTCTCTAGTGGGAATAAACAAGGAAGTTGGTCTAGTTAAAAGTTCTGGGCAGTGGAATTCATTAATTCGGGGTCCTTCAGAGGCATTTTGTTGTGTTGGTCAAGTGAAGAAGCTATGAAACGATTAGACGCAAGTTGGAATTAGAGACTATGGGGAAAGGAGACGATGATGTAAGCACGCTCTGTTGAACTCACGTTTTTTCGGGTGAAAACTTCACAAAAATAATCGCTATTAATCATAAAATAATACGAGAGAATGTTAATTAATATGACTTAACTCGAATTCAGAAAAAGACAATTGCATTGACTCAGAATCGAACCCGGGCCGCCCGTATGGCAGGCGTGCATTCTACCAGTAAACCACCGATGCGACCAAGAATAGGGATGAGAATGCAGTGAGATGAGTAGCGTATCTGCGGAAAAAAGAGAAAAAGGGCGCTGAAGGAGGGGAACTAAAAGAGGAAATGGGGGAGAGGGAGACGACGATGCAAACGCGCTCTGTTGAACTCATGTTTTTTTTTTCACAAAATCTCCGTTACTAATTAAAAAAAAATGTCCTTTATCAATATTTTTCCCTTTTTCAGGATGATGAGAGCTTTCGAACAAGTACAAAAACAATGCTTTTTGAAAATTTATTTAAAAAAATCAAAACTGAATGAAAACTTCAGTTAAAAAATCATTACACAAAAATTATTCACCAACTGAGTAAGCGACGACGATGACCATAGAAAAATGATGAAGGTAATTTGAAGAGAAAAAGTTGTAGAAGTTTCCAGGAGCAGTTCCTACTGATTTAGTTGGAGTAACTTCTCTAAAAGAACTCTCATGAGTGGAGCATCCAATTCACTGCTATCAGTTCCCATCACTGCACGAACGTCGGCTCGAGACTTCATGTTGGAGAGGCAATGAGCCTGCAAAATCAGAATTATAATACTTTTAAAAAATATTTTAAAATCCTACTTTCAACTTCTGGAACTGGTATTGTTCCGCAATTTGCATCTTTGTTTTCAGCGAATGCTTCGAGTCCATAATCAAAAACTGTTCACAGAGACGTCCCGGATTTTTTGCTTCATATTTTTCAACCAGTTTGAGAACGTCTTCGATGTTGCTATCTGAAATGAGAAATATATAAAGTTTCTAAGGGCGGGTGCACGATTTAGCACTAATTCAAAGCCTTAAATCAAACCTTGATTCAGAATTCAAAACTCTACGTACCTGTCAATGTGTTTTCCATGTAGACCAGCTCCAGAAACACTTGGAAATCCTCAGAACTGACTCCTTCTAAGTTTATAACTGACTGCTTTGCCTGCCTGGAGTGGTCCATCAAACGACGCTTGAAATGGGTGGATTGTTCAGCCAGAACCACTTTGGAAACATGAAAATTCTCTTCGCCAACTTCCAAAACGACATCTGTGAACTTTCTGTCAGCTCTATCAAAGTGTTTCAGCTTCTCCGGTCTCTCGATTCCAGTCATTGATTCGATAGTCACATGCACTTCAAGAATGATTTTGTCATCAACTGCGAACTCTTTGAGAAACATCGCCCATTCGAAAGTCGAATAACCACACCATCCGGCCTGACTGTCGTTTGCAAATGTGTAGCGTCTAGTCTTCGACTCATAATTTCCATTCACTGAGATCATTTTGAATGTTATTTGTGTGGCAGCCGTCCATATTCTGTCAGTTCTTGGCTTACAGCAGCACAAAGCAATTGTGAAAAGTCGTTCCGAATGGCGGTAAAGGATTTTCCTGGAATTCAGAAGGTAACATTTTTTCTGAAGCCTTTTGTGATACTTACCATGGAATATTGAAGTGCTTAACTGACTGAGAAGCTTGAATGCTTTCAGCAGTCAAGCCGGAAACCTTTTCGACGATATGCGTCAGAACAAATTGCTTTGCTGAAGGCTGCATTTTTGAGATTTTCCTGAAAGATTTGTTAACATATTGACATAACTTGAGAGAGTGGTAATTAATTAAAAAAAAAAAAGGAATTGCATCGACCGGGAATCGAACCCGGCCTAAAAATATCGGCCTAAAAAAAGTATCGGCCTAAAAAAAGAGGTAGTTTATTTTTCTCACTAAAAATGTTTCGAAAAACAGCGTTTTAGTATTTCCTAAATCAATAAAGTCACGAATTTGACGATTTATCAAATATTTCGTCAAAAATTGGCAAAAAAACTAATGAAAAATAAAGAAAACAAGAACTGCCGACGGAAAAAATATTCATTCCGCGTGGAAGAGTTTTGGGAAACTCGGCCACCCTCCTCTGCGTCTCTTCATGACGAGAGACAAAACGAGAGGACGGAAGGGGGGTCGGCTGTGTATGTATCGGCCTGAAAAAGATATCGGCCTAACAGATATCGGCCTAAGAAAGATAACGGCCCAAAAAAAGATATCGGCCTGGAAAAGGATATCGGCCTAAAAAAAGTATCGGCCTAAGAAAGATATCGGCCTAAAAAAGAGATCAGCCTAAAAAATATATCAGCCTAAAAAAAATATCGGCCTAAAAAAAGACAACAGCCTTAAAAAAATATCGGCCCAAACAGATATCGGCCTAAGAAAGATAACGACCCAAAAAAGATATCGGCCTAAAAAAGATATCGGCCTAAAATAGATATCGGCCTAAAAACCAATATCGGCCTAAAAACAGATATCGGCCTGAAAAAGGATATCGGCCTAAAAAAAAGTATCGGCCTAAAAAAAGATGTAGTTTTTATATTTCTCACTAAAAATGTTTCGAAAAACAGCGTTTTAGGTTTTCCTAAATCAAAAAAGTGACGAATTTGACGATTTATCAAATATTTCGTCAAAAATTGGCATAAAAACTAATGAAAAAGCAAGAAAATAAGAACTGCCGGCGGAAAAAAATATTCATTCCGCGAGGAAGAGTTTTGGGAAACTCGGCCACCCTCCTCTGCGTCTCTTCATGACGAGAGACAAGACGAGAAGACGGAATGGGGGTCGGCTGTGTATGTATCAGGCTGAAAAAGATAATATATTCCGGCTTAAAAAAGGTATCGGCCTAAACATACATTGGCCTATGAAAGATATCGCCCTAAAAACAGATATCGGCCAAAGAAGGATATCGGCCTAAAAAAAGATATCGGCCTAAAAAAAGATATCGGCCTAAAAAAAGATATCGGCCTAAAAAAAGATATCGCCCTAAAAACTGATATCGGCCTAAGAAAGTTGTCGGCCTAAAAACAGATATCGGCCAAAGAAGGATATCGGCCTAAAAATGATATCGGTCTAAAAACAGATATCGGTCTAAAAACTGATATCGGCCTAAGAAAGTTGTCGGCCTAAAAAAAGATATCGGCCTAAAAAAAGATATCGCCCTAAAAACAGATATCGGCCAAAGAAGGATATCGCCCTAAAAACAGATATCGGCCAAAGAAGGATATCGGCCTAAAAAAAGATATCGGCCTAAAAAAAGATATCGGCCTAAAAAAAGATATCGGCCTAAAAAAAGATATCGCCCTAAAAACTGATATCGGCCTAAGAAAGTTGTCGGCCTAAAAACAGATATCGGCCAAAGAAGGATATCGGCCTAAAAATGATATCGGTCTAAAAACAGATATCGGTCTAAAAACTGATATCGGCCTAAGAAAGTTGTCGGCCTAAAAAAAGTTGTCGGCCTAAAAAAAGATATCGGTCTAAAAACAGATATCGGCCTAAAAAAAGATATCGGCCTAAAAAAAGATATCGGCCTAAAAACAGATATCGGCCAAAGAAAGATATCGGCCTAAAAATGATATCGGTCTAAAAACAGATATCGGCCAAAGAAAGATATCGGCCTAAAAAAAGATATCGGCCTAAAAACAGATATCGGCCAAAGAAAGATATCGGCCTAAAAATGATATCGGTCTAAAAACAGATATCGGCCTAAAAAAAGATATCGGTTTAAAAAAAGATATCGGCCTAAAAACAGATATCGGCCTAAAAAAAGATATCGGCCTATCTGGAGGAGATATCGGCCCAAAAAAAGATATCGGCCTAAAAAAAGATATCGGCCCAAAAAAAGATATCGGCCTAATAAAGATATCGGCCTAAAAACAGATATCGGCCAAAGAAAGATATCGGCCTAAAAATGATATCGGTCTAAAAACAGATATCGGCCTAAAAACTGATATCGGCCTAAAAAAAGAGATCGGCCTAAAAAAGAGATCGGCCTAAAAAAGATATCGGCCTAAAAAAGACAACGGCCTGAAAAGATATAGGCCTAAGAAAAACATCGGCCTGAAAAAAGTATCAGCCAAAATTGGCAGAACAACTGATGGAAAAGAAAGAAAATAAGAACTGCCGACGGTAAAAGTATTCATTTGGTGTGGAAGAGTTTGGGGAAACTCGACCACCCTCCTCTGCGTCTCTTCATAACGAGAAACAAGACGGGAGGACGGAAGGGGAGAAAGAAAGATAGATATCGGCCTAAAAAAAGGTATTGGCCTGAAAAAGATATCGGCCTAAAAAGATATTGGATTACATTTCATGTCAGGCTGGTGGTCACTTGGGTAAACATTAGAGCAACTGCTTCTCGTGATGCGGCAAACAGATAGGAATTTTTTCAATCGAATAGTAGACAGAGAAAACAAATTTATTGATGAACTTTAATACGTGCATGAATGATTTTGAGAGGATACATATGAGTGTCAAAATCTCGGAGGAGGGGAATATGGGGATAAGATAGTTTAATGTTATATTTTAACTCAAAGTACTTCTGGATAGGAACTCGGTTTCTCTTGGAATATTGTCCGATTTTGATCATGAAGTTGATGAATGAATGGTTTCTCGCCGTTTCATCCCTATAAATAAAAAACATAGCTTTAGAAACTTCCAAAATATACAAAACTCACAAACTCAGCTCCGGATTCTCCACTAGCATCCCATTACAACCGTTCCAGTAAAACTGTATATCCAAGGAGCGAATGTATTGATTCAGTTCTGTGATCTTCCGTGGTAGTAAGTTATCCAACCAACCAAACTTCAATAGAAGCTGCGATTCGAAAAGGACGTCGACACACTGGAGAACCATATAAATTTACATTTCCAACGATATCTAAGAAAACTCACTACTGGTAAAGCAGGAACGAAAAAATCAACCTTCTCTCAATTTCCGTAATTTTTCATCAGCTGAGTGAATAGAACTTTTACGAAATTCAGAATAATCAAAAAAGACCCAAACCAGAGGATCGTATAATAACTGACTGATTCAATTTTCTTCAGAAAATAAATTGTGCGGCTGCCAATTTTGTGTAACGTGTGAATCATCGAAACTGTCAGGTCTTCGCTTCTCCAAAAATTGTATTTTCTGTCTCCCTTTTTTTGTAGTGTAACATTCTTCACATATGAGAAATTTTTCTTAAATGTTGAA